AGCAAGTGAGAATGGCGAATATAACTTAATAAAATATGTTAGATGTCATCACCACACAAAATATGAAGCTACAATGTGTGCTGCTCAGATTTTGGCATTTCAACTACGTCCAAGCAATACAATCAGACTGTTTTGAAATCAACAAGTGCGTGCGCAAGACACACTGGGAAGGCGCATCTAATAAGAAGAGTATCCGCTGAATATTTTGTTTAAGGGCACGGGTCAATGATGCGTCCGACTATCAATGAGGAGTCCGACTGTCTACGGAAAAAAAATTTGCGACGCCGACGTTAATGAATAATGAAGGTAAGTTTGTTTTAAATATTGATGTATTATTTGCTTTAAAATCTGACCCTTGCATATAATGAAAAAAGACAGTATAAAATTTATTGATTACCCTTTTTTATTATATTAAAAATTTTAAATGAAAAAGAAGGCAAAGTTATTTGCATGCAAGAATTTGAAATCATTTTATTTCAAACTCAAAGTTTATCGATAAAGGCAGTTTAGTTTTATAAAGAACATTTGAACATTTTAAAACGTTTTGCGAAGCGTTTGTGGTTGAATTTTGCCGATTAAATTGAAACTTACATGTATATTACGCATAATAACATACCAAACATATACCTTTCCATGGCATCACCTTAGTATGTATACATGAATTTGCGGTTAGAGCTCGACAACATGACTCTGTAGCCCAGTTGGTTAGAGCTCTGACATAATTATGCAGAATCCATACATCTAAATTATATCCTGACTTGCCCAAAGTCCTGCATGGGTAGACCAACAATATTGAGCTGTTCGAGATGCAGCCGTCAGATGTAAATAAGCTACTGGCACCGTTGAACGCATTGAACAGGAGGGAATTAAGGCAAAGACTGAGAAGCATGCTTTCTAAGCCAATTTGTTAAATAATTTCGCCTTTCTACTATGTATTCCTAAGAACATTTTATCCCCCTACGATAACGGTAAAAATACGATTTAAATGTCATGCAGTCAACTGATCCAGGGAACACCGCGGAAAAACGTCTGCGCATGCGTCAACCTTACCTGTAATAGTATTGCGAACTTGATGAAAAGCTGTTCCGAACGTTTCCGAAGGCTCAAAATGGCGGTAAAAAGGAGTGACTTCATTGTGCGTCTTTACAGCCAGATTTC